TTTTCTCAATTTTTGCAGACACTTCTAAGTATGTGTGGGCACGCGCCCTCTAGCGCATTGGGAGCGAGCAGAGCTTTTTCCAACTTTATACCCACTGCGCGCGGCAACACCCCCATAGTCCCCTTATTCTTCTGCACGTGTAGTGCGGAAGGCGGAAAAAGGAGAAGACGGGGGAGGGAGAAAGGGGGAGCGCCGACCTGGACGATGCCCAGCCGACTTTCAAATCTGCCCTTAACGCTCTGGCAGGTTGCCCACGAGACGAGACCCCAGAAGGAGAGAAATGAAATACAGACTATCGCCGTCCTGCGGTCCACGAAGAGGGCGAGGCTACATGAAAATTTGTGACTATTTAAGCAAATCATGGGCGATGGAAACCCTGAAGGTCAAAAAGTACTTTTTTACAAGAGAACGGGCGCTGTGCACGATATGTGTATACTTACCGCTTGTGTACTCGGTATGAAAAAAAAATATGTATGGCCGATATAGTGCGTATGATAGGCGGTCGAGATGTATCCCGAGCGAGCATCAGCGTATCACGGCCTTGTCCCAGTCCAAGCCAAGACGCCGACTGCAGAACAAAAGCCTCCCTCACCCACCGATTGCTGGTTGGTTTTTGCTGAAATGCTGACCAGGGGATTGGGTTGTTTTTTACCTTGCTGCTTCCATCGGTTTTTTACAGGGGTTCCCTGTAAACCGAGTGTGGATCAAGTCCACCTTCCGACTACCTTCCGGCTCAATCGCCTGAATTGGCCGTGTACGGAGGATGTCTCGGTTGTACAAGAAATATCCTGTGTGTTATTTCGCAATTATTATTCTTAATTGTTGTTGTTATTACGGAGTATTGTGTTGCCTGTTCTTTCTCGAAGAATGCTCCTTCGTTACGCAAGAAGAACAAATTCCTCACGGCCATTTTTGATGCTCCCCAACAAGGTGAATTCTTAAGCCATTGGCATCAATGTGCTGGATTACTCGAGGGTTTACTAGTTAAGTAGCTTAACTAGCCCGCTTCTTCCTCCCTCATAGCTCGAGATTCAAGAACTAAGTTGGTACGAACAGAGTTCTGTGGTGGAGATCTCCATTGCATGGTGAAATCACATTCTGGCTCGTTTTGATGGAGGGCGGGCCATGTCCAAAGAGTCGTGCCAACAAGCCTGCCAGTTGCTATTTTGTTGCTGTTGTTGTTGTTGTTGCTGCTGCTGCTGCTGCTGGATCCTCTGCTTCTCCTTACAAGCCCCGTTCGCGCAACAGGCATGCAGCACATCAACCCGGGATACAGAGTTACCGAGCCCTCCGGCGGAAACGCGCGGGCATGAAGTTAAACGGGATGTTCACTCAGTCTTCACTTAAAAATAAGAAAAAAAAACGACGAGGCGGTATGCAGAAGGGCTGCAGAAGAACGTCAACATCAACAACACAAAAAACAAAGCAAAACAAATTGATGAGCCCTGGAAGGCGTCCTAGCCGTCAACATGATGACTGATACGATGCCAACGGTGAAGAAGAATCACACGTTCTCTAAGAATGTCACTATCACTCGTGGAGCCAGGCAAGGCAGGGAAGAAACGATCATCGCCATGATTCTCCTATTTCCCCAACCTTAAAAAAAGCAACCATGCACAACCGTGAATTATGCATGTTTTATGGTTGCCTTTAAAAAGCTATGTAATCAGCCTCTGCCGCGCCCAGTTCACATGTCCTCCGCTTTGTCCTTGGAGGTACTTTTCAGAGCAGTCAGATTTACCCTTCTGATTCCCTTCCGTCCGACGTGTCAACCTCAAACTCCTCGGAGGACTACCTCTTCCTCGCTCTCTTTCTTCCCATGATAAAGGAAGTTCGGAGGTGAAAAGAAAAAACATCAGTCTCTCAAAACAGCCCGTTACCAGCGTGATGGCGCCTTAGTGTTGACAAAAGGCATTTTCCGCCGTCACCCCTAGTGATCAACGAGTGGCTTCATTTTGGCTTCGCTTTAACTTTACTCGTATGGAAAGCAAAGGAGCCCGTACGACAAACCTGCACTCTCTGATTGGCGTATATACAAAACGCCTCCAGCGCTCGAGGTTTGGTGATGGTCTTTGTAACTAAGCTAAGCTTGGTGACCCTCAGTGAAGAGCGGAGGCGATTCATTACATAGGCACAACGCCTCTCAAGCCCCCCCCCCCCCAACCAGCACACAATTTATTCATAGTACTCCCTACATCGAAGGGCGCTATCCTCTCACGCACAACGTGTACGGAGTTTCTTCCGTACAACCGCAATGCACACAACGAAATCAAGGGATCTTGGACGATCAACTGAATCTTTTACAGGGACAATAGATACTCAGTGCATCCCAGCCAAGCTCTGGTCGAACTGAAGGCAATCAACAGAAAGCGGCGAGAAAAGCTCGTGCTCAACCCAAAGTACGCCTCGAAGCGGGTTTCTTCTTCTTCTTCTTCTTTTTTTTTTTCATGTTGTTGGGTAATCCCTAAATTTAGAGATTGATTCAGAGCCATTCACCGTGAGAGTGGATTCCAGACTGCGTAACATTTTTTAACATGTTATCTTTAACCTCCAGAAGTTAAGACCCAGAGTGGTTTAAAACCCAGAGACACGGTTATACGTTTCGGAGTGCATCCACCCGGCTCATATGCATCAATCATGACTTTCCGCCTGCCCCTGTGCACTGGATGATGTCCAAACTCGCATCCCTTGGCTGTGCGTCGTGCATGCCTCTTCTTTCCTTTGCCTGGCCAGCCAACGGCCAAAGCACAGCATACGTGGTACTCTTTTGTATGGGCATGTGTTCGCAGAACCTCAGATTACCACTCGACTGGTCATATCCCAGATCATATATCGCATATTAACCGTATGACTTCATACTATGGGCCCCTCTTCCTAATAACTCTTTCTTCCGTGTCTTCTCGATGGTGAAACAAGTGCTATAACTCCGGAGATTAATGAGAAAAAAGGAGGCTTGCAAGCGATTAATTAATCGACACTTGTGCCAGGCAGCTTTTTATATTTTACGTTCTCCTTACCCGCCCCTGATTTCGCCTTCAACAGTGCCTTGAATACCACTTTATTATTCTTGCCATATGATTTTCTCTGGGTACTCCGTCCAGAGTACAGGTTCGAGGACAGGCCAACACCATACCAGATGCTCAGGCCCCTGGCTAGCCCTTTGCCTTTGCGCCCAGGCATGAACCGTGTGGGGATAGAGTTATTCTGTCGGTAGCGACTTCTCCCTTGCCAAATCAAGCCTAGCTGTGAATATTTATATTCGGAATGGTCTGCCAACTGCAGCTGCAGCAGGGGGTTGCACTCGGGACCATATCGTAATGGTGCATTCCAACTGAAAGAAACGGAGGTTGCCTAACTAACACCTAGTCGATATCATATTACACTTGGAGTTTTCATGCTTGTATCTGTATCCTTTCCGGTCACAACTTTCCCCCCTCTTTGGCCGATGAGGCGGGTTGTCACCATGCGCAGAGCACAAAGAGCCTGACCCGTGCTATGCACACTCAAAGCCTGCTAAGCAAATTGCCGGGTTCAAGGCAGTCAACCTCTGCGCACCTAACTACCTCTTCGGGATAGAAGAGCCCAGGTTTATTCCGCCCTCAAGCGTTGCCGGATTCCGCCTTTGTTTTGTTGCATACTCCAACAAAACCATGCCATGGTCTCATGGAGACGATCACCGACGGAGGTACGGACTACGGAGTATACTCCGTAAGGTTACTATTATCCCTAAGGACGAAAAAGATGAAGAAGAGTGGGACACGTTGTCCAGGAATGACCCTGTCTAATGCTCTGGAGTACGGAGTATCTCGTACGGAATATAGTCATGGTAAAAGGGGCTGGGCAGGGGGGGTTTGAGCAACAGGACAGAGATCTGTCCGCTTCGTCCATCGGCTCTAACCATCTCCAAGGGAGGACTATTTGTACTGGCCGCAGGCGGCTGCAGACTTGCAGGCAGAAAGGAGAGTGGTTGGCTTCCCAGGCTGATGGTACCGAATTATCGCCTGGGACGAACTGAATGCATGCTCGATTGCCTGAAGTGGACGGCGGTTGAGTTACACCAGTGCTTCATCACTACATAATCTTAATAACGGTCAATATATGGCGCCTATATATTCCCGCAGCTCCGGCGCCACATTGAGTCCATCGAACCCATAGAGTGCTCCATAGAATAATGAAAGATGAACAGAGAAAAACAAGGCGAGCGAAAGGAAGAAGAAGAAGCAGCAAAAGTACATTCAGGGGGCCCGAGAGCCGCTTCCGAAAGCGGACGCTTTTTAGGGCTTTGTTGCTTTGTCATCATAGATAAGATAAGATTGCACGTGATATCGGAGATAACACCAGCGGGAGAGAATAACACAGCAGGAAAAAGAGCTAGAAAGACAAAGACGGCGAGGAAGAAGCAAAGCAGAAGACCGACAGAGCAGAAGGTGTTGCCATTGGGCGTGGTACTAATAGCCTGATAACCTGGAGCGAGCAGGAAGGAGATCCATCACTTCCTTCTTTTGGGAAAGACATAAATAAAAAAAACAGGGAAAAATGGCTTCCTTTACGATCAAAGTGCCTTGCTCATCCGCCAATATCGGGCCCGGATTCGATGTTATTGGTGAGTTCCGGTCAATCTGGTTTCAATAAATCCCTTATCCTTGAGTATCATTGCTGCCAGGCATTCTACCCTGGTGAAGGTCTTATTGAAGGCCGGGATCATCCCCAGACAAGCATAAATCCGAGATGGCATGAGCTAACGATATACCATGCTAGGCTTGGCACTATCTATATTCCTTGAGCTGCGTGTCACGACGAAGGCCCCCAGCTCGCCTTCATCTTCCAGTCTTCGATTAAATTGCGGAATAACATATGAAGGAGAGAATCCCGATGAAGTCAGTCTTGACCCGGAAGTAAATTTAATTACCAGAGTAGCACTATACGTGCTCCGGTGCCACAATCACCATGCATTTCCCGTTGAGTGTCACGTACACATCAAGAACCCGATCCCATTGGGACGTGGATTGGGATCCAGCGGTGCTGCGGTGACTGCAGGTGTCGTCCTGGGCAATGAGGTTGGAAAGCTAGGCCTCGATAAGGCCAGAATGCTAGACTATTGTCTCATGATAGGTGAGGGCACCTCTGCCTTTTCTGAGCCTCTGTCCACTCGTTGATGCTAATTCAGCTTGTTTTCCGCAGAGCGCCATCCCGATAATGTTGCTGCTGCTCTTTACGGTGGCTTTGTAGGCACGTATCTAAACGAACTAAAGCCCGAAGATCTGGCGTGGAAGGAGATCCCCCTTAGCGAAGTGCTTCCTGCCCCCGCTGGTGGAGTAGATACTGGCATCAAACCACCTGAGCCGCCAGTTGGAATCGGCCACTACAAGAAATTCCCCTGGGCAAAGGAAATCAAAGCGATTGCTATTATACCCGAATTTGAACTTCCCACTGCAAAAGCAAGAGAGGTCCTCCCTCAAACATACTCGAGAGCTGACGTGGTAAGTCCTCTCTTTTTACATTTCCCGCTTCAGGAAGATCGGCACTAATATGGATGTTACATTTAGATATATAACCTCCAGCGTGCAACCCTACTTCCTTCAGCACTCGGCCAATCTCCCCTTGATCCCGACATGATCTATCTTGCGATGCAAGATAAGGTGCACCAGCCTTATCGTAAGCATTTGGTGCCTGGATTGACTGAAATCCTAAGTTCAATGAATCCAACCACCCAACCGGGACTGCTTGGCATTTGCCTTTCAGGGGCAGGCCCAACGATATTGGCCCTTGCGACAGAAAATTTTACGCAAATCGCTGAAAGAATAATAAAGACGTTCGAGGCCAACAATGTCCGATGTAATTGGAAGGTGCTAGAGCCTGCAGATGACGGTGCTACCGTAGTTTATCATAATAACTAGCTCATATAGCCATAAAGAACTATTCTTGCCATTAACCCGTCGTATTTCTTGAAATGGCAGTTGATTCATCTCCATGGTAGAAAGTAAACATATTATGTGAGTTCGAAGCGTATTGTAACTACTGTGGGTGTTTGTTGATCAGTTTTACAGGTTGTTTTCAAGATGCATTTGGAGTATACCCTAGATTGTTTTTATTTCATTACAATGCACCTAATGATAATGGTTTCCAGCGTGCTAGAACATCCCCTCCATATCCAAATCAATAAACTCTGGGTTCCCAACACCCATATCTGTAGGATTTAACATGTCGTCAAAAATGCTCGCATCCATATCTGAATGAGCCATAGTTACTTCGGTCCCAGCGGGTGGTGCAGTCACTCCTGCAGTAGCTGCATCCAGAATTGCGTCTATGGTGCCAGGAGTCGCATCGGTTCCGGTAGCGGTGAGATTTTGGTGCTGCTGGTCTTGCTGCTCCGCCTGCTGAGCTACGTCTATTTGCATCTGTCCGTTTTCTTCGACGCCCGTAAGGTCCATATTTGCCATAATATTACCAACGTCGATATTTTCAACTCCCTGGGGTATTTGTGGAATAGAAGTGATGGTATCAACGCGTCTAGCCAGCCGAACAATGAGCTCAGCTCGGTGAGGTTCATACTCTATCATCTTGGAGAGGGACTCTCTCTGAAGGTTAAGTGCATCTCTGAGATTGAGCATTTGGCGGCGGGGCAATGAATCCTTCAAAGAACCACCTACCGATTGATACGCTGCTTGTTCCAACGAGAAACACTCACGCATCGGTGCACATATCAAAGTTGCCGCGATATCAATGGCCAGGTCACCACTCCCAGTTTCACTCTGCAACTTAAGTTCTTCGAGTATTCCCGCTAGAACTCGGACAGAACCTAGATGTTTCAATCCAGCTGATAGTTGCCTATGGGTATAGCTTGGGGGAGTCATACTGATCTCAGGGTCTGTGCTCCAGAGTACCAGTGACGAGAATGTGTTTCGAATCCCTGTGACCATTCCACCAGGGGCAGAGCTGGATCTCCATCCTTCCAATTCGGAACGATTAGAAGTGCCCGTCCGCTGAAAGGACTGATACGGCTCAAGTGCTTGAAGGATGGGTTCAATATCTGTTCTCGAAGGGTGACGGGCTTTTGCAGTTCTCAGTTCATCGGCAAGCTCCCGTGCCGTAATCGATAGTACTGTACGATGGATTTCCTGAGCCTCTCCAGATATAGAGGTAGGCTTAACAAGGGTAGCTAGAAGTTTAAGGGTAGTGGTGAGGTCGGTGCCAGACTTCCAAATATGTTTGCCCATCCACGACAGGGCCATCACCAGCGAAGGTAGCAGGAAGGGCTCTAATAGATCTTCTAGGTTGTTAATCCAATGCATCTCAAGTGGCCTAATACAAGCTAGAGCGGGAGGGTTGACTTACACTCGAACCCACCCTTGAGAGTGTCAAACTCCAGCTTTCCGGCTTCACACGCGCTCAAGCTCTGGCAGAATAGTGTAGCAACCAGAAGATAGAATTCTTGCGGGCTACAAGAGGACATGGATTCATCACTAATTCCTTCAGCGATGAACAGTGCTGTAACCCACGCTCCAAGGTTTTGCTGTTGTTTCTCCGTCAAATCCTCCAGCTTTTGACTTGATGAACCTTTCTCGAGTAATCGGCACATAAATGAATCCGGATTGAAAATCCCAAGGTCTTGGTAACTCAGATCATATTTATACTTGAAAGCAAGAACCAGGAGAAGAACACTTCCAAATTCATCGTAGACAGGCTGGCTTTCCCCTGAGTGTTGTTAATAACGGTTCATTCAGTCAAATTGAGATTTAAGTATTTACCTTGATCTTCCTCCCACTTCCAGGAGTCCAACAAGGCACAAAGAGGTTGCAATATAGCTTGTGGGCTCTTGAAGAGTAGCATGATGTCCAGTGTCTGCGGTCTACGTGACAAGGAATTGCATAAACTCTTCAATGTCATGGTATCCTTTCTCAGGCACATATTATGCATTACCTAAGTTGTCCATGTTAGTGCTTTGGATAATCTTGGTTCTATGAAAAGCCCATACCTCCGCTATAGCTTCAACAATTGCCCTTGCGTTGCCATCCATCGACTCGATACCATTCAGCAATTGCTCTGCCCTTTCATGGTTATTGTTTATCTGAGCAACTAGATCGTGCTTGACCAATCTTCCACCATTTGGCAATGTTTGCATTGGGTTCTCTCCCAAGAGGCGTTCAATACTTGACTCGGGTATTAATTTATGCAAAGCACACGAGAAAAGAAACTCTTGTCTCACGTCAGACAAAACCGAATTACCATGGGTAGAGAATATTTCTGAAAATGATGGGAACGTGTTTGGGTCTACCCGCGCTAAAGCACGAGTGATACATAGTTCAACTGGTATTGGCTCTACCACCGATCCTGCTAGGTCCGACAAGAACGGAGGGAGTTTGTTGACGAGAAATGCCCGGAAGAGAAACATTGATTGCTGTGGCTCGTTGCGGTACATTCCATTTGATAAGACATCAAATGACGCTGCAATAAGCTCCTCAACAAGTGCCATGTGATTCCCCTACGATATGTAAGTATGTGGTGGAGATAATGCTAGATACCAGACTTACCCCGTAGCGATTATTTAGATAATTAATAAGAAGATTATCATCTATCAAAGGTCGCCCTACGAGCTATAGCATGTCGTTTAGTATAGTTGAGGAGAACTCGTGACCCAAATAAACAACATACCAGAGAGTTGACATATATATACAACCCAGCCCTAGAGCTTACTGGAGGAATGTCCACAACTCTAGATTCAAACTCCAAGGTAGAAACAGCAGTATCCTCTATAACATGATCTTGATTTGACTTTTCACCTTTCAGAAAAAGGCTGAATTCCTTCTGCAATTGATCAAGCCTGTTTCGTAAGGGAATGGATATCTCGGCACATATAGGGGAGTATGCTGTCAAGGCTCGGGCCAGCTTCATTCGCTGGTGTTTAAATGCTTATGCTGTCATTAGAAACTGAGGATACCACGACACAATTCGTTTTCGGGACACGAGTTGCAAGTTGAACCCGTTTAAGAACTTACTTCCTGCGTGTTGAAATGATAGTGCGTTTGCACCCACTTCCGTTCCTGCTAAGGCTCCAAAAAGAAAACCGACAGCTATGAATATAGAGACCACATCAGGAGTGGCCAACAGCTGTGTTCCACTGCCCTCACCCTTTTCTGACCCCAGATGAGCATTCCACGACACTAGGGCTAAAATCCAGTCGGCTATAGCAGAACAAGTATCCATGAACTCAAGAGGTACCTTTGGAGCATGGCCAGTGGTCACAGCTGTAATCACATTTTGTATGATGCCGTAATCAGTCAATAGAGTGGCAGGCCCTTTAGAGTCCGCAGGCTCCGTAGACCCTTTCTCATCAACCTTTTGGTCCATATCTTGGTTTTGTGCTTCATTTTGTTTCTTCCAGCGCCGAATATCGGACGTGATGCTCGAGTGAGCCAGGAGAGACGGCAAAATATTAAATAGCTCGACCTGTGTCAGCTTTTGGACGGCATCCACATAGTCTGGTATTAACGGGTCCCAATCAAAATCCGTAACTGCCCTCGACTCTAGGATAACATCAAAAAGATCCATATGTGAAATAGGGTGGCGGCGTAGCATCACTTTGGCTAGGTTGTGAAACTCATCCGCGCTGATTCTCTGGAGAAGGCATTGACGCAAAAATTTCTGCCATTCTGGTCGCGAGGCTCCAGACGGCTGTTTCAACAGTGAGACCATATTGTAGGTATTAAATTTCTTCGGGGAACAGAGGCCACTGCGAACGGAACCAGTATGTCATTCCGTTAAGCATGAAAAGAATAACGATAGGCCAAGGGTATGTATATATATATATTTGTAGTTCACCGAAGCGTTTGATAAGCTTGATAAGACCAGACTAGGTACTTATACCAGCGCCAGGCTGGGGGGTTAAAGAATATGAGGTTTCTCTTAGATGGCTGTCGACCTGACGTAGTCTCAAAGTTCCTTTCATTCCCCAAAGCTGGAGGTTGCTACAAAGATTATATAAGCGATATGTTACATAATCAGTGAATGACGTAATCCATTCATTTCTTCATTTTATCGCTCACGTCACTCATCCTGATGAATAGGGGTTATAGGCTGGCTAGTAGCAGGAAGGGGTAGAGTTTTCTTAATAATGCCATCTATGCCTCAAATGCCAACGCTTAGCCATATCATGATCGTTGTAATGGTGGATGCGCAACCTTGGAGAGAAACCTTCACGTGATGTATGGTCACATGGTTCATCGGGCTTCCTTGGGGTCTGGCTTACATAATCCACGGTATCTCGTTTATCACATGATTCCCACGTGGTTGTGCCTGCTGCGCCACAAGTCCAACGACATGCTTCGAAAGTGCGTCTCTGGCGGGAGGACGAGGGTGTCGAGGAACAGACGCCAGAGGCGAGATACAGGCCGTTTTACGACGGCTTTGTGCAGTGGCTGAACGTTGGTATTCTGGAATGTTCGGGTTATGTATTACACGCTTGCGTCACACCTTGGATTCCGTGCAGTAGCTGGACAGATCGAACTAGCACCCGTGAAATAATTTGCCACGACCACATGGGTATCTGCGCAACAAGGGCGTTTGCAATGGCGTCTTCGGGCCCAGTGACCCCATTTTAGTAGTAGGCGACGAGATCATTTGCCATAGCCCTTACTATGACACTCACCGTGGATAAATCACCGTCGGCCTCGAGGATAACGCTAGTGGGGTCGTAGTGCATATGCAAGTGAACCCGGGCGAGTATAGCTGCGAGGCGTTCCTAGCACATTTGCCTCCCTCATTTGCCATTCTACAGCACACCTATGATCTGAAGAACGTACCTCGTAGTGAACCTAACTTATATCTAGAATTTGACTCAATTGACCACTTGATTGCCCAATTGGATTGCGAATGGCAGCAGTTATGTGTTGGAAAACGAGGTGGCTTAAGTTGATCAAGGCACTTGCTATAAGTAATACCGGACCGGTCCAATGAAAATATCAATAGATGATAAATACCTAAGTAATTGTTTACCTCGAAAATAAGAAACAGCAAAAAATTACAGGTCCCTTTTTTATCTTCATCTGTCGTCTCCTTACGCCAACCCATGACAGGGAAAATAGCAATGAGACCGGAATGTGAATGTAACAAACGAGCGGAGGGTATACAAAGATTGCCGCCTGAAGGAAAATATAAGCAAAAAGAAAGAAAGAAATCTTCCCCCTTCTTCTAGTAGGGGAGGAGGAAAGCGGCTGGGGGGTAATATGAAATATGTATATGAGAATCGTTGCCGTAGGTATCATTCATTGTCGTCAATAATTATTGCTTTTCTCTTCTTCTTCGTCTGGTGTATCTCCTTTGTCAGGTCATTTAAGACCTCGTGCTTCTGCTATGTCTCGAGTATGTGTTCGACTGGCGGTCTGCCATTTCATCTGGCGACCGTGGGCCAATCATCCAATCTTCCATAGCTAGCCACTCACTCCAGCTCTTCTCTGCGGCTTCAATCTCAGAGTTTTCTGACCCCTGCAATGGCCTGAGGAATGGAATGGTCTCGAGCGGCAGAATGTCGTAGTCCTTCTTTACAGCCGCCCATCCTCCGCTCTTGGCAGCAAAGAAGAAGTTGCGGCGTTCTTGTTCATGTAAAGAGCCAATCCCTGAAGCCCAGTCGTCACCGAAAAACCCGTGTAAAACTCCCGGGTAGTCCATGCCTGTTGCAACTAGTCGACGAATATAGGGTACCATAGATACACTTGGAGCAACAGGAGCCCCTGAAGGTTGGCCACCAGGTGGAGTGGAAAGGGCAGCATCGGCCGCAGAATTAAAGATAGGGGTGGGCTGTCTCTGGAATGGGAGATGTATGTTTAGGAATGAAGAAAGGGCCTGTACAGGAACCGTGTGTTGGGCGTGGTCGAGGAAATAGCGTTGGCAACTCTGGTAGCGTGGGTACCATTCAAAGATATCGAACGGGGTGTCTTCAGGGCGCTGAGAGGCTTCGGACATACCTGCCCTGACCACCGAATCGTAGTGGACGCGAGGATCTGTCGACATCGTGGCTTCGGGCGCCTCTATAACCTGACTACTTTTTCTACTGCTGAACCCTTTAGCGCTCCGTTGGTCATGTCAACGTCAAATCTCAAATCCATGTTTTACCCTCCCGAGTCATGAATATGTCCCCAGAATTCTCCTCTCCTTACATGCTCGGGGTTTAAAAACGGGACAGGGAAGGGGTTAGAGCCACAGTCGCCGCGGTCCAAGCACAGAACCGCCCTAGGATTTGGGGGGGTTGGTATATACCTGTTTCCGGTCCACGCCTTCCGTAGAAAAGGCCAATTTGAAGCACGAAGTAAAAGAGCAGTTGATAGGAGTTTCCTGAACAAATTTGGATCTCTCTCGGGTATCTCCTTCCCTATGGACATTGGCTGGGAGGCGTGTTTATAGACTGCTGGCGCATAAAGGAAACGCAAGGTACAGCGTAAGGCCCGAGCTAAAATAGTAAAATTAAAAAATAAAAATAAAAAACCATAAAAAGGGCGAAGGGAACGCAATAATCCCCGTCAATGAGGTGTAAAGGCGGATTACTATGGGAGACCGTATATGACCACGCTTGCCAACAAGAATTGAGCAAACCTGGGTGGAAGGAGGCGTATATTATAGGAAAGGGAGCTGAAATAAAGTGACTTGTGCCTGGGTAGCGATTGACTTTTTAAAACAATGGGGGAATCTGGTCTTGAGACGTCAGTAGAGGAGAAAGATATAGGAGAAAAAGAAAGGTAGACAAAAACCCCCCTTCGGCCTACTTGGCGTGGAGGCGAAAGTACGGAGTGGGCATCTGAAGGACGAAATGAGAATCCCACTCATAGTTGAACTAGAAGAGAAAGAAAAAGAAATTGAAAGTAATAGAGGCGCTACAAGGGTTGGATGTAAGTTAGTCAGAAGGGTTTGATCTTTTGGCGGAAGGAAGAAACAATGCTCCACTATCTCTCCTGCGATGGACTTGCATTGCGTGTGGAGCTACTTTGGGCTGGTTTAAAGGCTGATTCTTTCTGGGCTGTATGGGAGTTTAATTCGGGAGGC